TAAAAACTCAAAGTTCCTGGGATATAGGTCTTTCACTTGTTTGGTTAGCATTACCCCAAGATATTTTATGCTTTTTATGGCTACTGTAAAGGATGGTGATTCTCTGATTTCTTTCTCAGCCCCTTTATTGTCTGTATATAGTAGGGCTACTGATTTTTTTTTGAGTCAATCTTGTATCCTGACAATTTGTTGAAGGTATTTATCAGCTGTAGGAGTTCCGTGGTAGAGTTTTTCAAGTCACTTATGTAAACTATCACATCATCTGCAAATAGTGAAAGTTTTACTTTTTCCTTCCCAATTTGTTTTCCCTTGATCTCTTTTTGTTGTCTTACTGCTCTACATAGAACTTCAAGTACAGTACTGAAGAGATATGGAGAGAGTGGGCAGCCTTGTCTTGTTCCTGATTTTAGAGGAATCACATTGAGTTTCTCTCCATTTAGTTTGATGTTGGCTGTTGGTTTACTGTATATTGCTTTTATTATGTTTAGGTATATTCCTGTTATCCCTGATCTCTGGATCAGGGTGTTGGATTTTGTCAAAGGCTTTTTCAGTGTCTAGTGAGTTGCTTTTTTCAGTTTGTTTATATGGTGGATTACATTGGTAGGTTTTCGAATGTTGAACTATCCCTGTGTCCCTGGGATAAAGTCTATTTGGTCATAGTGTATGATTTCTCTGATGTATTCTTGGATTGGATTTGCCATAATTTTATTGAGTATTTTTGCATCAATGTTCATGAGGGACATTGGTCTGTAGTTGTCTTTTTAGTTGTGTCTTTGTGTTGCTTGGGTACCAAGGTAACAGTAGCCTCATAAAAAGTTTGGCAATGACCCTTCTGCTTCTATTGTGTGGAACAATTTGAGGAGTATTGGTATTAGCTCTTCTTCAAATTTCTGGTAGAATTCTGCACTGAAGCCATCCGACCCTCGACTTTTTTTTTTTTTTTTTTTTTTTTTTTTTTTTTTTTGGCTGGGAGACTTTTGATGACTACTTCTATTTCATTAGGGGTTATAGGTCTCTTTAAATTGCTTATCTGTTCTTGCTTAATTTTGGTAAATGATATCTATCCAGAAAATTGTGCATTTCCTTTAAATTTTTGAATTTTGTGGAATACAGGTTGTCAAAGTATGACCTGAAGAGTCTCTGGATTTCCTAAGTGTCTGTTTTTATGTCCCCCTTTTCATTTCTGATTTTGATAATTTGCATGTTCTCTCTCTGCCTTTTGGTTAGTTTGCAAAAAGGTTTGTCTATCTTATTTTTCTGGAACAACCAACTCTTTGTTACATTGTTTCTTTGTATTGTTTTCTCCATTTCTACTTTCTTGATTTCAACCCTCAATATGATTATTTCCTGGCTTCTACTACTCTTGGGTGAGTTTGCTTCTTTTTTGTTCTAGAGCTTTCAGTTGTGCTGTTAATTCTCTAATGTGACTATTTTCCAGTTTCTTCATGTGCGCATGTAGTGCTATGAATTTTCCTCATAGCACTGCTTTCAAAGTGTCTAATAAGTTTGGGTATGTTGTGTCTTCATTCTTTTTTTTATTCTAGGAAGTCTTTAATTTCTTTCTTTATTTCTTCATTGTCCCAGGAATGGTGCAATTGCGCATTATTGAGTTTCCATGAGTTTGTAGGGTTTGTGCAATTTGTGTTGCTGATTTCTAACTTTAAAGCATGGTGGTCTAATAAGATACAGGGCGTTATTTCAATTTTTTTGAATCTGTTGAGGTTTGCTATGTTTCCAAGTATGTGCTTGATTTTAGAGAGGGTTGCATGCGGAGCTAAGAAGGTATATTCTTTTGTGCTAGGATGGAATGTTATATAGGTGTCTGTTAAACCCAATTGGGTCATAACTTCTGTTAGTTTTTTTTTTTTGTTTCTTTGTTAAGTTTCTGTCTTGTGGTCCTTTCTAGTGGTGAGAGTGGGGTGTTGAAGTCTCCCACTATAAGTGTGTGAGGTTTTATGTGAGATTTGAGTTTTAATAATGTTTCTTTTATGAATGTGGGTGCCTTTGTATTAGGGGCATAGATGTCCAGAACTGAGACTTTGTTCTGCTAGATTTTTCATGTGATGAATATGAAATGACTGACCTTCTTCATCTCTTTTGATTGATTTTAGTTTGAAGTCTAATCTGTTAGATATTAGGAATGCTATACCAGCTTGTTTCTTGGATCCATTTGACTGGAAAATCTTTTCCCAACCCTTTGCTTTGAGATAGTGTCTGTCTTTGAAGTTGAGTTGTGCTTCTTGTATGCAGCAAAAGGATGGATTTTGTCTTCATATCCATTCTGCTAACATGTGTCTTTTCATAGGCTAGTTAAGACCATTAATATATAGGACAATTATGGACCACTGATAGTTTATTCTTGTTTGTTTTGGATTTGTTGGTAGTAGTGGTATTGTGTGTAGATTTACCCTGCTTTTTCTTTTGGCTTCTGGTAAAGTGGGATTATCTATTGCCTTTGTTTTTGTGAGTGTAGTTAACTTCCTTAGGTTGGAGTTTTCCATCCAGAACTTTCTGTAGGGCTGGATTTGTGGACATGTATTGTATAAATCTGGCTTTGTCATGGAATATCTTGTTCTCTCTATCTATGGTTGTTGAGAGTTTTACTGGGTGTGGTAATCTGGGCTGGCATCTGTTGTCTGTTAGAATTTGTAGACCATCTATCATGGACCTTCTGGCTTTCAGAGTTTCCATGGACATGTCAGGTATAATTCTGATAGGTCTGCCTTTATATGTTATTTGGTCTTTTCTTTCACTGCTTTTAACATTATTTCTTTAGTCTGTATGTTTGGTGTTTTGATTATTATGTGATGAGGTGACTTTGTTTTTGTGGTTCAGTCTATTTGGTGTTCAGTAAGCTTCTTGTACTTTCATAGGCATGTCCTTCTTCAGGTTGCAAACGTTTTCTTCTTTGATTTTGTTGAATATGTTTTCTGTACCTTTGAGCTGAAATGGTAGCTGATGGTGGAAGCTTTTTTCTGTCTCCAGTTCCCCCCCCCCAACCAGAGGGGTGAGGGGAAGGACTGGCATGATGGGGATGGCATGCTTTGTTCTGCCTCCAGTCCCCCCTCAGTGACAGGAAGCATCTGGTCACAGGTCAGGGGACTTACTCTTTACTGAGTGAAGGGTAGAGAAGCAAGACATATCTCTGTTATATTTTATATTAGTTCTTTTTTGTGTTTCTTTAAATCAGTGGTTCTCATTCTATGAGTCACAACCAAAAAATATTTATATTACAATTCCTAACAGTAGCAAAATTACAGTTATAAATTAGCAATGAAAATAATTTAATGGGTAGGTGGTCCCCTGGAGAAGGGGTAGGGGGACAAAATCTCCTGAGCAAATTAGGAACATGTCAGAAGGGGAGATTGAGGAGGAAGAGGAGGGGAGAGGTGGGCATGAGGGAGCAGGAAGATTGAGTAAGGGAAAGAATAGAGGAGAGCAAGAAAAGAGATACCATAATAGAAGGAGCCATTATAGGTTTTAAGGGAAATCTGGCACCAGGGGAATGTCCTGAGATCTAGATGGATGACCCCAACTAACTAAGCAATAACGAAGAGGCTACCTTAAATGCTCTTCCCTGATAATGAGATTGATGACTACTTTGTATACCATCTTAGACCCTTCATCTAGTAGCTGATGGAAACAGGAGCAGGCACCCACAGCTAAACACTGAGCCTAATTCCTGGAATCCAGTTGCAGAGAGGGAGGAGTGATGGACAAAGGGGTCAAGACCAGGCTGCAGAAACCCACAGAAAACAGCTGACCTGAACAGAGGGAGCTCATGGACTCCAGTCTGATAGCTGGGAAACCAGCATAGGACCAACCAAGACCCCCTAAATGTGGGTGTTAGTTAGGAGAACTAGGCAGTCTATGGGAACTCAGGTAGTAGATCAGTATTTATCCCTAGTATATGAATGGACTTTGGGAGCCCATTTCACATAGAGGGATACTCTCAGCTTAGACACATGGGGGAGGACCTTTGCCCTGCTCCAAATGATATGATAGACTTTGAAGACTCCCCATGGATGGCCTCACTCTCCCTGGGGAGCAGAAAGGGGATGGGATGGATGTTGGTCCGGTGGACAGGTGAGGACGGAATGGTGTGTGAACTGGGATTGACATGTAAAACAAGCTTGTTTCAAACAAATAAAAAATTATCAAAAAAGGGAACATAAAAATGTAATGGATAGGGGGAACACCACAATACAAGGAACTGTATTAAAGGGTCACGACATTAGGAAGGCTGAGAACTACTACTTTAAATTGTACTTGACTCTACATAAGAAAAATATGAAATACTGTGACTCTCATGTGACTGCCCCTGAAAGAAACAAAACTTGCTAATCTTTTAAGAAAAAAAAACAACAACAACAAAGAAAAAACGATGCAGAAACAGCACTCCACCAATTCCATATTCCTGTATTATGTGTCTTAATCACCCCCACCCCCACTCCCTCCTCCCACTCCCTTATCCTGCTCCTCCCCTACCTTCATGTACTTACTCAGTCTGGTGTACATTCCTTGATGGAATGTTGGTTGATCCTGTGCAGGTGATCCTAACTGCAGTGAGTTCACTAGTGCAGTGGGCATACTCTGTACAGAAGACATCATTTCTCCCCATTCACATCTGATAGTTTCACACAAGTCTTGGGGATCAACCTTGTATTGTACCTTGCAATATACTTGGGGAGATATCACATTAGTTCCCAAGCTGGGCTTTCAATACAATATAGCTATTTTGGAACTTCATAGGGAAGATGATTTTCAAGGGAGAGTTTTAGGTTTCTCTTTTAAAAGATATCATTTGGCTAACCAGAGTTGTTGCACAATTATATATATATATATATATATATATATATATATATATATATATATGAGAGAGAGAGAGAGAGAGAGAGAGAGAGAGAAAAGAGTTGTTTTCATTTTCCTGAGAAAGGAAGTGCTCATTATTAAAGTTGTGTTTCTTGCATTACACCCCTGTCCTCTCCCTGTCCCCTCAGGGGCTGAGGAAGGGAGCATGTGGAGGTGGAACCAGACCTTCCTGGAAGACTTCATCCTTCAAGGGCTCTTTGATGACTCCTTCAACCACCTCTGCCTTTTCCTCCTGATCATGCTGGTCTTCCTTACCGCAGTGAGTGGCAACAGCCTCACCATCCTCCTCATCTGTGCCGACACCCATCTTCACACACCAATGTATTTCCTGCTCAGCCAGCTGTCCCTCATGGATCTGATGCATGTCTCCACAACCATCCCCAAGATGGCTAGCAACTACCTGTCTGGCAAGAAGTCCATCTCTTTTGTGGGCTGTGCCACCCAGCACTTCATGTACCTGTCTCTGGGTGGTGCAGAGTGTCTCCTCCTGGCCCTCATGTCCTATGACCGCTATGTTGCCATCTGTCACCCCTTAAGATATACTGTGCTCATGAGCAGGAGAGTGGGAGTGATGATGGCTGTCATGTCATGGCTGAGTGCTTCTGTGAACTCCCTGATCCACACGTCCATCTTGATGAGCTTCCCTTTCTGTGGCTCAAGAATCATCCATCACTTCTACTGTGAATTTCCAGCTATTTTGAAGTTGGTGTGTGGGGACATTACTGTGTATGAGAACACAGTCTACATCAGTAGCATTATACTTCTTCTCATCCCCATCATCCTTGTCTCTACATCCTATGGATTTATTCTCCACAGTGTCATTCAGATGCGTTCAGCTGGGAGTAAGAGAAATGCCTTTGCCACATGCAGCTCTCATCTCATTGTAGTTTCCCTTTGGTATGGTGCCTGCATGTTCTCCTATATGAGGCCCCGGTCCCAGCGCACTCCACTGCAAGACAAAGTTGGTTCTGTTTTCTATAGCATCATTACCCCCACCCTGAATCCCCTGATTTATACTCTCAGGAATAAGGATGTTGCAAAGGCTCTGAAAAAAGTGTTGGGGAGAAATCTTCTTGCCTAGTGACTATAGTTGTAGTTTTTCAGAATATACACTTGAATTAGATTTGCCTTAAACTGATTTGAGCAAATTCCAGATGCTTTTTTTTTTACTAGTGCACAAATAATATGGGCAACATGTAACTCTACTATTCTAATATGATTTCCAGTATCCCAACTGATAGAATTGTTGTGCCATCATCTTGGACCCTTGACCTCAACTTCTGATTCTAAGAATGGCACAGAGTATTCAACAAAGTATCCCTAGTACTTAAAAATCAAGCAAACCACAAGAACCAGTCCCTTCTTAGGAAGAAGAACTGTCCACACATACAGTCCCCTTCTCTTCCCAATCTTCTAACCCATCAAAACTTTCCTAATTTGTAAGGGAAACATTCTCATTACCTGCAGATGGCTGGGAACCCTTCTTAGCTTTTCCACATTAAGCTTGTAACTTCTGTTGAATAGTCTTCTGACTTCAGATTCCTTTGATTTACCATCTATTTTCTAACACAGACACTATTGCGTACATCCCATGAAGCTCTGGAAGAACTAAGGAAAAATTAAAACCCAAACCCAAATCCAATGCAAAAAAATGTTTTGAAAGGAGGCACAGGGAATGCAGCTCAGTTGGTAGAATGTTTGTTTTGCATTCCCAAAATCCTGGCCTGGATTTCCAGGAGAGCATGGAATTGGGCATGGTGGTATAGGTCTGTGATCCCTGAACTCATGAGGATCAGAAGTTCATGGTCCTCCTCAGGTATATAGTGAGTTTCAGCCTCAAGATTAACCCACTCACACAAAACTAAATAGTCAAACAACCAGCCAGCCAGCCAGCCAGCCAGCCAACCAATCCCCCCCCAGAAGACATATAAAGGCCAATGACATACCTTAAAATATTAACGTAAGACTATGATGGGCTGTAGATAAAATTTCAAGTACTGTACTGAGTGGGTATGGGGGGATTAGACATCCTTTTTTTTTTTTTTAGGTTGATGGATGTTTATTCTGGAGAAATCACTTACACCAGAAACAGATACTTCTATTAATCTACATTTATTTTTCTTTCATTCGGTATGACTGACCCCCTCCATGTCTCATTGGTGTTTTGCCTTTCTTCTTTCCAGAAATTTCTCTCTGTCCCAAAGTCCCAGCTATCTCCCCTGTCTAGCTATTATTCATTCAGCTTTTTATTACACCAATCACAGCAATACAACTTTACCCAGTGTACAAATATCCCAAAACATTTCCCCCTTTTCTCTAAATAAAAGCGGAAGGTTTTAACTCTTAATACAGTAAAACTACATACAATAAGAATAATTATTAGGTAAGAATTACATTTGCAATGTTTAGTCCATATGCATTTGTCAAATTCAGAGAAAGTATTGTATTGTCTACCCTATCTTAGTGAGTCCAAACTTATACCTAAACCATTCTCTATCATAACTTGTATTACCATCCTACAAATATCTTTTTAGACCTAAAAACATCTTCTTAGATAAACAATTTAAGATTTTATGTTTCTCAACCTTATAAACTTTACATCTCTTATGTAAGTTTTTTTTTTTTTGAATTTGGTAACAAGGAATCTGTAACTATCACATCTTCAACTCCATTAGAGTCCCAAAAGGATAAAATATTACCCAAGAAAACAGGAAATGTAGAGCAAACAACTTTCAAAACTATAGAAATGATAGAGACATCTGGCTGCCTGGACAGTCACCCAAGGTTCCTCTGTAATGTTTGGACATCCATCTTTGCCCTACAGGACTAGGATATCTGACAGACTTTCCTTTGAAGCAGGAACCAGGAAGGACTACCTTACCTCATCTTGGCAAAGTTCAGCAATCACATTTTTTGTGTGTCCTGTTTGTCAAATTTGGACAGCATACTGTCAGCAGTTGAGGCAAGGGCAGATTCTTGCCCAAATGGCTAGCTTTGCCACACTGAAATCAAACTCATATAGAGGTTCTTTAATGCCCATCATTCTTTCTGAAGAAAATTGGTGCTGCCAGGAGCAGATGTGTCTCATGGTTGATGATAAGCCTTATGTTATTAAAACATCTTAAATGCCATATTCTGTAGGTCTTGGAAGTGTTTGAAGACCATTTATCTAAAATATATTTCTGAGTGACCTTGGAAATATACCTAATATGACTTCAAGTTTGATTGTTATAGGTGACTACTAAAACTGCATTTCTTTTTTTTTTAATTTATAATTTTTTATTTAATTTTATATAACAAAATCCAATTAAATGAAAACAAACATTTATACACAATATTTGGGAATTTGGGCGTCGTTCTTTCCAAACTACTTCCTGCTGGTAAGGGGCGCTGTCTGGGGGGATTCAAAGAAGATTCAGATATCCTAGCTGTAGTCTGTAGGGCTGTTTTGTCCAGCTGTTTTGAATGTAGGATCAGCTTGTACTCTGTTTCAGGCGGTCTGGTATGATCAAACCACATTAGTCTGGAAGGAATCCACATCTTTTCATTTTCTGTGGAAACAAAAATAGAAATCCTTTTCCCCAGTAACTTGTTCTTCAAGTTAAATTTTGGAGTCAAAGCATTTTTTTTAAATTTATTATTTTACATGTCGATCCCAGTTCCCTCTGGGATTAGACATCCTTGTCTTGTTCCTGATTTTAGTGGAAGTGCTTTGAGTTTCTTTCTGTTTAGGATAATGTTGTCAGTGGGCTTGCTATAAATGGAGTTTATTATGTTGAGATATGTACCTTGTATTACTAGTCTCTCCAGGACTTTTGTTATGAAGGGATGTTGGATTTTTATTCATCTAATGAGAGAATAATTTTTTAAAAGTCTGTTTATATGGTGGATTATGTCCATAATGTTTGTGTGTGTTGAACTATCTGAATCTCTGGGGGGGGGTGCCATTCAGTCATGGTGGGTAAATGATGAACCCCATTATTTGCTATCCAGTGCAGAGTGGTCAGCCTTGAAACTATATTTTCTCAGTAGATTGTATTTATTAATTTGTGTATGTTATAAGTATAACAAGAGAAAATGCTATCAACTTGAAAGTAGGGGCATGGCAGTGGTTCAAGGGAGGATGGCTGGGAGTTAGGGAGGAGGAAGGGAGGGACAAGTAATATAATTCTATTTAAATTAAGAACATTAAGAAAAGAAAAAAGAATCATCTCTTTCTTTTAGGTTTTCCATTTTGGTGGTATGCAGATTTTTACAGTATTCTCTGATTTATTTATTTATTAGTATTTTACTAATTTCAGCCCTGAGTTTGTTTCTTCCCAATTATTCTTTTTGGGTATTATTTTTTCTTATGTTTCTAGAGGTTTCTAGTGCATCACTAAGATATTGATACAAGAATTCTCTAATGATTTGATGTAGGCATGTAGTGCTATGCACTTGTCTCTTAAAATTGTCTCCGTAGGGTCCCACAAGTTTGGGTATGATGCATTTTCACTTTCATTCAACTATAAAAAGTTTTAAATTTCCTTCTTGACTTTTGTCTTGGCCCAATTTTCACCCTGTAGTGAGTTGTTCAGCTCCCATGAGTTTGTATATTTTCTAATCATCTACCATAAAACAATCCCAAAATCTTGTGAACCACAGCATTAGGTATAGAGACAGTATAGAAATCAGCTGATTGTGTTAGGCTGTTTTCTGTTGCTAAAAGACCAGAGAAAAATAAGCTCAGGGGAAGAAACATTTTGCTCATTTTCTCAGGGTTTCAATCCATAGTTATTTGGATGTATAGTTTTTAGGGTTGTGGTGAGTTGGGAATATGTGGTGGAGCATAGCTGCTCACCTCATGGCAGTCAGGAAGAGACACAAGAAGGAGTTAAGGAAGAAAATATGCCCATAAGAACTGGCCCCTATAATCCACTCCCTCTAACTTTTGAGATAGCATCTTTTTTTTAATTTTAATTTTTTTATTCATTTCACATACTGACCACAGTCCCCTCTCCATCTCCCTCCTCCTTCCTCCCATCCACTCCTCAGAAAGGGTAAGGCCTCCCATTGGAAGTAAATAAAATTTGGCACATCAAGTTGAGGCAGGACCAAGCTCATCCCCCTGTGTCAAGGCTGAGCAAGGTATCCCACCATAGGGAATGGGCTTTAAAGAGCAATCTCACAGCATCTTCTAGTAAACAGAGATGTTCCAGTGAGAGGATGAAAGCTTTCCATCTAAGTCTTCATCTTGTAGCTCAGTGTTGGGTTGGGTTCTTGGTCAGCTCTGAATGAACACATGACAATCACTTAAGAAGGACTCAGATAAATAATATTCCTTATTCAAGGCTGAATACACCAAGGTGGTAAAGATATTTCAGGATTTATGGAGGCACAATGATGAGCATGTTGTCAACCACCAGGGTTACATCATCCTGCTTCCCATCACTGGGGCATGGCCCAGAATTCCCTAGTCATTACACTAACCCTAAAGGAATCAGCTCCACCTTGCTGTTTGGACTTGTTCTTTTCTGTGAGTCATGTTCTCTTCCATTCATCTTGGAACAGCAGGTGTGATGAGTAATCATCTTTTGACTAGAGGTGAAACTGCCCCAGGCAACAACTGCTTTCACATTAATCTAGGTGAAACTTCTAAATACCAAGACTGCTTGACAGTGCATGCTTCTTGCCTCCCGCCTTTTATTCCCCACCACTGTTCCTTCTGTATGTTAGCTCCTGGGGGACAGTACTGAAGACAATTGGTGTCCCTTCTGCTTCTTCCTGGCATTACTATACAGACCATACTACTTTCATACTTCACTACTTTTCCATTCTTGTTTTTATGTCCAGACTTGGACTTTTAGGAACTCCTAGAGCCGCAGAACTTCCTGGCAGGGGATGGCAGTAGCAAAATTAGTAACACTTATGCATCCATTGGCAGTTTGATTCACTGATGAGGTCAGAGCCCTCATGACCAATCACTTATCAAGGGCTTTGTGCCTAAATGTTGTCACACTGGGACCCAAGCTTTTGATATTTGAGCGTTTGAGGTTATTATAGATCTCAATGTATCACCTTGAAAATAGAAGAGGGATTATCAGTTACTGTTCAGTGGGTGATGGGAGCAAAGA